GGTGACGGAGCACTGCAACAGGCTGCCCAGGGAGGCTGTGGAGTCTCCTTCTCTGGAGATATTCAAGACCCACCTGGACAAGGAGGACCTGCTGTAGGTGACCCTGCTTTGGCAGGAGGGTTGGACTAGATGACCCACAGAGGTCCCTTCCAACCCCTACCATTCTGTGATTCTGTGATTTCAGGCTTACCTGTTGGAGTTATGGGGTTTGGTTTGGTGGGGTTTTTTTGGTGTTTTGTTTTGGTTTTTTTAGCCAACAGAAAAACATTCCTACAGCCCCAACAGAGAAGTTAGACATGTTAGGAAAGACTTTTTTCCTGTCAGCATGAATAGCCTCCCCTAAAACCCTTCCTGCACAGCCAGCACAGGCACATGAAATTATTTTCTAGCATAGGAGAACATAGTTTCAGACTCCTAGGCTATGTAACTACACAGCTCAAAGGAAAATTTACTGTTGCCTACTGTAAAAATCTTTTATTCTTTTACCTTCCATTCATAATCCAGTTGTTTAATTGCTCGACAAACTTCAGCCATGATATCATTAGGTCGACTCTGACTCCGTATTCCCAAGTGCCACTTCGCTCTTCTCACCCCTTGGTGTTTTGACTTCTGTGGATTCAGCTCATCAAGAGTATGTCGAGGACGAGGTGCTTCAGCTACTAAAAATGGCACTCTTTCAGGATGAGGGCGTGAGAGATGGTGGTCATCAAGAAAAGAATCCGGTGGGCTTGTAGCCAAGTAGAAGTCTTTGGCCTCATTCATTATTCTTCTATTATCTATAATGAGGTGATAAGCAACCGCTAAAGGGTCCTGATGATTTCGGCTGTATAGACAACTCAGCACTTCCTCTTCAGTGCATTCAAACTTCTCACACACTTCTTTTAAGGCTTCATCATCAATCATGGTAGAACTATATGATGGGTCCTCAGGAAACAAGTATTTCGGAAGGTCCTGCTTAAACCATTCATGTTCCCTAGTTTGAAAAATAAAAAAAGTCTGAGTATATGTATGTAAATCAAGCCTTTTTAGTACTACATTGTTTAAAAAATAGAGTTGGTTTCAGTCTGTACAGGAAGAATCACAGTTGTCAGTCCAAGTCGCCTTCTGTGCAGCACAAACAATAAAACAGTACATAAAGGGAAGTAATCACCACCTTGATGAGATTTTGCTAGACATTATGCAGGAGACTGAAAAAAAAAAATCTTCTTTCCTGTAGTTTTTCAACTACCTAAGTTTCAAAAACATCTTTCTATAACTCAGCAACCAGCTTTCCATATAAATGGTATATTTTTTACTGCGCCACTATGTTAGCTTGGAGATATTTTCAACTGAAATTCTTATGCTACCCACCTGAGTTGTCCCTCCCCAAGTACACACATAACAATACATAACAAAATTAACAAAACTAAGAAATGTTGATAATGAATAATTTTTTTTGTAGATGTTTGGACAAGAGATTTTTGAACACTAAAGTCACATGCTCCCTACCCTAAGCAAGCTGCTTATCATTTTCTCATCCAGAACATCCTCAGCTGTCTCTTCCAGACTTAGGAGAGTTGAGGGAAACTATGGAAGGGTCAATCTGTACCCCTTTACTACTCTACCCACAGGCTGGTATTCATAAGATGGAAAATGAAAGATACAGAAGGAACCAAATACTTACATTGCCTAATCATACAGAAAAAAATAAGATTTTGTGCGCTGTCCTGGTTTTGGCTAGGACAGAGTTACATTTCCTCCCAGTAGCTGCTGTGGTTTTAGTTGCTTCTAAGAAGTCAAAAGACTTTCTCTAGTCCCATATTCAGCTAACGAGCAGCTTTGCAGGAGCTGGGAGAAAGCGCAGCCATGCAGCCAGCCCAAGCTGGCCAATGGAAATATTCCATACCATACATATCGTGCTGAGCTTACAAATCGGGGTTGGGGGAGGGAGAAGGAATCTTCCCTTTTTTACCATGAACCTGGGGCGGGGGGGGAAGTTAAGTTTTTTTCCTGAGAGTTTCGCGAGTTATGTGAAATTCACGAGTTAAATCCAGAGATCCTCTCTTCTCCTTGAGGGTGCTGAAGAGTATTCAGCAGTGTTTGGGAGCTGCAGGCCAGGCTCCAACACAGTGCAGTAAGTCGTGCCTCTCTGGAATAGCTAGGGTTGTTTTGGTTTTTTTTCTCTCCAAACATTCTATCACTTCATCAGGATCCTCCAGTCATTCAGGAGGTGAAGTGCCAGACGATCAGAGGTGATGAGCTTTCTAGAAACCTGCCCACATTCTCCCATGTGCCTTGCCACCCATAACCACACTGCCTTGAGGCCTGCGTGACATTCGTAAAGCATATTCTTAAGTAGTTTGTTTTCCTTAGAAGAAAAAGGAAACAATATTCCCAAGAAATACCAGTAACAGTATTTTGATTACCCAAGGATGTTCTAGATACTGAATAGTTACTGTAACAAGGGAGTAAAAAGTCACAGAAAGAGGTGGTGAAGATGCCATTCCGTATTTCCTCTACAAAAAAACCCTCTTGGATGACAAAGTATAATTGTTAATTGACTCCATGAGATGGCACCCAAAGTACAGTAACAGCCTCAGTACACAGCCCAAATACCAAATTAAGCCTAAGGCCAGTGTTTTAATAATAAATTTTCCAGGCAAAATGCCACTACACTCTACAGAGCACAGCAAACTGCAGAAGCCAAAACCAGTCTTTAACACGTAGAGCAAAAAAGGGAACACAGCACAAATCAGATAAACTAATATCAAGAATAGATAAATCAGTATTGCGACCAGCATCTGTCAACAGATATCATAATTATAAATTCCATCTAATACACTCTGTTCAAATCTGTTATAATCTCAAACCCTTCAAGCCTCACAGTGGGTGCCAAAAAGGACTGTCGGGGTTTAACCCTAGCCAGCAACTAAGCACCACACAGCCACTCGCTCATTCCTCGCCAGTGGGATGAGGGGCAGAACTGAAAGGGTAACAGTGAAAAAGAAAATTGTGAGTTAAGAACAGTTTAATAACCAGAAAGAAATTTGAAAATAAATTTTAAGGAAAAGAAAAACACAACAAAGAGAGGCAAATAAAACCCAAGAAAGACTGGTCATGTAAACAAAGCAATAGCTCACCATCAACTGACCGATGCCCAGCCAGTCCCCGAGCAGCAGTCCACCCCCACCAACCTCCCCCCCAGTTTACATGCTGAGCATTATGCCACATGGTACAGAACATCCCTTCGGTCAGTTGGCAGCAGCTGTCCCAGCTGTGTCTTCTCACAGCTTTTCGTGCACCTCCAACCTATGCACAGGCAGAGCAGTGTGAGGAGCAGAAAAAGCCTTGACTGTGTAAGAACTGGTCAGCAGTAGCTAAAATATCCATATCTGACCAACGCTAGTTTCAGCACAAATCCAAAACACAGCCCCATACAAGCTACTATGGAGAAATTTAATTCTGTCCCAGCCAAAACTAGCACAATAGACCAAGCTCTCATCAGTGTGATTCCGAGAACAAGTCTCAGCACAAGTGTGTTGAGCAAAACACACTTCCATCAGAAGCAAACAGTTAATCTGGACGTTGAAAAAGCTTCCCCTACGTCACTACAAAGCCCAGTCCCAGGTGGATGACTGCACCCAGAGGAATATTTTGTTACTATTCATTGCAGAGGGCCTCTCCTCGCACGCACTACCATCCTCCCCAGAGGAATTCAGGTATTCAACTGAACTCCGTTTGTACTTTAAACGGTGAGATTAAATGCCTGACGGCTAACAGGATAGAACTGTTTTAAGACTCATAATCCATCCATAGACTAACCAACATTCTTCAACACCTTTTTCATACCACTTCTGTTCTGGATTTACTTAACGTGAGATAAGCTAAGTTCCTATTCACTCAAGTTTTACAATGCTTAGTTCTACCGTGCTTTGATTTCTGCAAGAAAGTACTTCCCATTGCACTAGATAAGAACACCACGTGTTTTGTTCTACTGAAAGAACATGAACATTGCTGATGTCCTAACTTCCAACCCTAAAAGAAGCAGCATTTTCACTAAGGCAGTGTATCAGAGCTCTCTCCTTAGAGCTTCTTACAAAAGAAACAGGAAAACCTGACTAAGTTGCTGCATGAAGTGTAGGTCTATCAGCTACGAAGTGAGGTTTTTTTTTTATTCGACCCACTGCACACCTGTCATAGCAGTCACCTTCTCCAGAAACTCCTGGTGGAATCTGGAACCCATGATACATCTCTGTAGCGACAAGCTTTAACATGTCAGTATTCAACGCAGTAATTATCACTCACGCACAAATTCATGTCAGGATTCCAAAGCTAGAAAGTGCTATCTTGCACGTGGAATATTCACAGTCTTAACAAATGATTTTTTCAGAGTCTGAAAAAATATGAATAAAAGCAATAGCTATCAAAGAGTCATAACTTCCCCTCAGACATTTACAGTACAGAATAGTGGTTCTTAACAGCAAAGACCCTTTTTTGGCCAGAGAAGTCAATACAGCGTAGTTTTTGCAAACCATTCTGCAGGTAAAGAGCTTTGCTATAGTCTTAGAGTTTCTCACAATTTCTGTGTGTAACGTGTATCGTTTGTTTTACTGTTACCTTCCACAGATACTTCATTGGCCACTGGAGATTAGAACAATCAGAGCTAAAACCAAACCATCAGAAGGTGAATTTTTGATCTCAGTCTATAAAACACAGACAAGTTGTATGAATAGTTTCTTTGTTCTGTATATTTGCACAGAGATTATCATTCCAGCATCCTGTGATCAGACATCAGTTAGAGTTTTACCTAATGTCTCTGATCGTCGCTCTCTTCATTGGATCCACTTGCAGCATGTGCTTCAAAAGACTAATTACAGACGGATTCAGGTACTGAGGGGTATAAAAGATACCATCACATATCTTCTTAAAAAGGGTTGGCACGTGATCATCATCAAATGGAAGTGTTCCACAGAGTAAAGCATAAAGAATAACCCCACTGCTCCAAATATCTACTTCTGGACCTGCATATAATCTGGGAAAAAGTTAACTATTAGTGATTCATGTTTAATACATTCAAACAGATATTTTTCCTCTACTTTCTTACATTGTGTCACAATAATTAAAAGTGTATGAACTTGGGACAACTAATCTGCAACTACTACACCACTTCATTTCTGAAGTTCAGCCCACGGTTTCTCAGCATCAAGCTTGTCAATTGAACCAGTTTCACAGCCTTTAGAATCAAGCAGCAAAATTACTGAAGTACATGCACACATGTATCCAATGTAAAAGAAACTACCTTCCTGAAATTACTTCTGGTGCAGCATAGTTCGGGGAACCACAGCTTGTTCTTAAAAATTCTCCATCTGACATCATATTTGATAGACCTGAAAGTGTATAAGAGTAACTACCAAAAATGCCAAAAACAAAATGATTTCACATTGCATATATCACCTAGAACAAATCACCAGTAATTAAAATCAGCAAATTAACAAATCTATCAAAGTAAAGAAGTAACATTGTTCGGCATACTGAAATTTTTATACAAGCATGCCACATAATTTTCCATTTAGTTTACCAGAAATTTAAGTAACATCAATCCATTATTACACACAACCTAGAAATATTTGGGAACGTATTCCGAGGCAAAAACTAGTCCAGTCTGGATGATACAGGCATGACAGAGGACAAAGTTGCTCTAAGGGCGACAGAGCAGCATAGCAAGACAGGATTTTCATTATTAACAAGAAAGTCTTAAAAACTACATTTGCTTCTAAATGCCAAAGTGGAGGACCACAGACTTGCCTGAAATTCTGTAAGAGGTTATATAGAATACGGGAACTGAGAAGTACACATGACTTCACCACAGATTAGACACCCACACTGCTCAGTGGCTTCCTGAATCACTGCAGTTCAGTAATTTGATCTTAGATACTCAGCTAGTAATTAAACTGTACTTTAGAATTCAGTATAGTCTAGTATCTATAAAGTACTACCACTTCCAGAATAGCTATGGAAAATACCTTCTAGTTTACTCAGGTGGAGGCTGCAGAATCAAGACTACCATAAGCCAGAGAACACAGTCTCCAAGGAGGAACTGTGCCCTTTTACAGTTGGGGGGTGAGGGAATGAAAGAGTACAGTTTGGTTAGTCTTCATATTCTAATACACAGAAGTTTTCATTAAGCTCTTGTTTAATCGACTAGTCACAATTAACTGACTGCCACTGCTTTGCTGATACTCCAGTTAGAGGAAGATATTTTTGTAAGTCACTGTCCTTTTCTTCACCATGTTAAGCCATTTAACCCAAAGCCTTTTCTACTCACAAGAAATCAGTACGATTCCCAGTGCCCACATACCTGAACACCATACGTTCAAAATATACTTGGAATACTCAGCATTACCTAGAACCTTTCATCAGAGACTTCAAAGTGCTTTACAAGGGCAAGTATTATCCACTATGTTCACAAGAGATATACTATGATGATAAAGAAGTACGGATACCTTACTATGCTTACATGGTGAGGTTTCCTGATCCAGATAGTTCCAAGAACTAGCTGTCAGTTTTCTCAGCAGCTGTGTCACAAACAGCTAATATAAACAATTAAGCTTTCTGATTAGTTAGGCAGGTATATAGCAAAAAAAGCACAGAAGTTTGAAGATTAACTGTTTTTATTTTACCTTTTATGCTTTAATTACATTTTTTCAATCACATCTTCAGAGTTTCTAAAGTGAATTTAGAGCAGTTTAATCAGAGGGCTAGTGTATTTTACTATAGCAATGAGGTTGTTAAACATGATGAACTGCCCCTGCACTGGACTTCCAAGGGAGCTAAGCACCTACATTTTACAGATTGTGGAACAGGCACTAAGAGTGCATTTTGAAGTGGAAAGGTCAGGAACTAAGTCTATTTGGCATTTCAGAGAAAACAGTGCTACACAAAACCGAACAAACCCGTTCACAATTTCACCCAGTCACAGGAAATACCTGAAAAGAAAGCTTCAGAGGAAAACAAGTTCTACACACGTATAAGACCATCATTTTGCTCTACATTCATACTCTTCAAGTTCTTTTGTGTCCCACGACCAGGATATTGAAGTATACACTTTTTATTAACTATTTCCCATAGTAATTAACAGGATTTAAATAACACCAGAAAAGTGATCACATATAAAAGCCATGCTTACCAAAATCAGCTATCTTCGCATTCATGTGTGCGTCAAGCAGCACATTTTCAGGCTTCAGATCTCTATGTACTACCATATGCCTGTGACAGTAATCCACGCCAGAAAGGATTTGCTGGAACAGACGTCTACTTTCTTTCTCATCAAGCTAAGACAGACAAAGGTTTTATGCAATTATGAGACAGTAAAAGATAACTCATTTTTCATTTATACGAATTAAAATTTCCCATCACCTAAAGTTATCATTTACAGTTTCAATACTTCATATAGCAGATTATTAGGACTTGTAGCAGAAATCTTCACAGCTTACATCATTTTATTTTGTACCACAGCTGTAAAATTACTAAAACAAAGCATACCAACTGGCTCAGAAAGTCACTGAAATTTCTCAATCACACTTTTGAAATTTATTAGGCAGATGTTACATACTCAATAACTAAAAACATTAGCACCCAAACAATAACTTTGTCTAACTGGAACATCAATCAACTTTGACATTTAAGCACAGTGTAAGATTTAAGTTGACAGGCAGTAAAGAAGTGATAAATTTTAGATGCTATTTATGCTATTTATTAGCAGTTATCCCCAAACAGCAAACTTAGCTGGGAATTTCCTATAAACATGTCCGAATCCGTGTCAAAGTTTGTCCTAACAACTAACTAAACGCATCCTGGCTATCTACATGGCTTGTTAAAAGTGACTTCAGAGCTTTCACAAACTGTTCTACTAGTAGAAGAGGGTAATAAGGGCACAACGGTAGGCTTCCAATAATGGTTTATAGTGAAGAAGTAGTTCTCAGCTACTCCAGCTGGATACATATCCATCCAGTTTGCACAAAGTACTATCAGTATCAGTAGAGAGGAAAAATGTTACGACAAAGTCATACATAAAGATCTGAAATGTGTCAACCTATAACTACTTTTACTTTCAGAACTAGATGTAGTCATAAAGTGTATTTTAACTGCCAACAGCAAAATTAATACTGAATACACAAAAACAAACCTTCATTTAACAGTGTGATGGGTATCCCTGCTTCCAACCCCTGGTAATGTGATTATTGTAACTACCACCATTTTATGAGGCAAGCAGCCATTCTGTGACCGAGCAAGTCACATATTCATGCCCTTTCCTTCATTATCATGCCCAGAAGGTCCTGTGAACCAAGTAGACACACCAAGCAGATTTCTGTCTTCCCCTCCCTACCAGCCTCAAGATTCCTGGGCACCAGGCAGATTACCCACTTCCTTACCAGCCTTGCAGGTCCTAGGCACCCGGCCAGCCAGGTGGTGGTGATGACCCCATCACAGAACAGGGAAAGGTAACAGAACACAGAGCACTGTCTGTAAATTCAAGCAGTTACAAGACCTAAGTGGGGAACCTAGACTAGAACCACTGCTGGACAGTGATCCATAACACCCAGCAGCCAGGGATGCCTCCATTGTTCTCTTCCTCCTCGGAGGACTGAGTGAGCAATTCGTTCATATGATTCTCCAGTCTAGACTGTGATTGTTACATTGATACAGCAAACCACACATTAAGATTTGACCCTATCTGCAGGGGGTCTAGGCAATTAGAAATCGTAAGTTAAGTTGTATTACAAATTCTGTATTACACTATTTACAAATTGCACTACATTGATTCTGCTTGTAGAAATCCCGTGTCACAGTAATCATAAATTCTGTGCTACACTAATCATAATATCCTGTTAAGAAAACAAAGCTTTAAATGCATAGATCTGCCAAGGATCCCCAAAAAGAACCTGTCTGCCCCCTCAGTGTCAGGTGACATGGGACTGTTGCAAAAGCAGTAACAGAATGCAAGTCATTGATTTGTAGAGTTGGACTACTTCTTACCCTTCCATTTTTGCAGATATAATCAAACAGTTCTCCTCCTGAAACATATTCCATCACCATGAAAATGTCAGTTGGTGTACTGATGACCTGGTACCTGATAAGAGAAGGTCTGTTAGTCTACAAACTCAGTAAAAGATGCTAGTTACAACCGAAGTTGTGCAAAGAGTCAGATAAAAGTATACTTTACAATATTCATCAGCCAATTTACAGCTACTGGAATGACAGTATTTTTCAGAAGCTATTTTTCTCTCCTTTCAGCATGTGATGTCATCATTGCCAAGAATAGTAAGAAATTTGTACTCCCCACCAGCAACATCAGTCTTTGTATTTTCAGAAAACTAAACTTAGTCCAAATTATTTCTGTGAAACAATTTACAGTGCTGCCTTGTAGACAGCTTGGTGCAGTGAGGAAGGAATTCAAAAGGACTTTGCTAGTGTCTTGAAAATACACACTTTTCAACCTTAACACGTAAAAAACTTGACTTGTGTGCTTCAAGGCTAGAAAAAATTGCTTTTAATAATCATGAATCATCTTTCAAAGACCTAAATTAGTCATTAGTATTTAAGACTATCAACACCCTGGTTATTACATTTTTATCATTCTACTTCAATTAAGTTTCAAAAAAAAATTTGGAAGTTTTGAAATAACTAGTTTACGGCCAAACTCTCCATTTAAGAGCCTTTCATTTTGTTCTACATATCCTTACCTAAAAGTTGTTTAATTTTTTCCCCTTGCAGCAGTCAGAAGTGATTGATTTTTAACAGAACAAGAAAATGAACACTGATAACACTTCAGCCAAAATTCAGATATTATATTGAGAAGACAGGAGGTAGCAATTGTACGAAAATGAACATTTCAATGTACTACACTTAAGCATGCAAATATCCAAATTGTAATAAATAACCAAATTCACACATAACCCTACAGAACTACAACGTTCTTTAAAATGCCAGCTCCAAGACAAAGGGGGAAAATACATGCTTCAGCTTACTGAGACAAGTTATTCATGAACTACATACAGAGCAAAGAGTTCTGACTATCAGGTCACATAGGCATGTGCACATGTATGTGCGTGTATCCATTTTAACAGCTTAGTATTATAGTGTTAACACTTTAAAAGCCCCAATACCCTTCAGAGGCAGTTATCAACATGAAACCTTCAAAGTTAGTTTTACCTAAAACCTCACAGTACAGATGTTTTACCTTTACCAATTTTCTCTCCAATACCTTGGTTGAAAGTACCTCATGCAGTTAAATTGAAGCCATGGCTAAGACAATACTACAGAAATAGTACTTTAATCGTTTTAACTGAAAAGTTACAGCCATGCTTCTCTATAATCGGATAATTTTTCTCGTTATAGAAAAGCAGATTGTGGAACTGTGACATACCTCTAATATCAATAAGGTTATCAAACCACACAGCATAGATGGCCAGAATGCAAAAAGACAGTTTTATGTAGGAAAACAAGATGCACTCTATTGCTAGAGGTCAAAAACCACAGGAGGAGATGCTCCAAAGGTTTTTATTTAAAGAACAGTACAGAAGAAAATCTTATTGCAACCGGCTTGGAACTGTACAGACTGCTAAAACCATGTATGAAAATATTCATAAGGCACAGCAGTGCTCTAAATTAGACACTGTCTAATTTGTAATATTATGCTGAAGAAATCCATTTACCTTTATCCCAAGTATCTTAAGTTGCTACCTAGCAGCTCCCAAGTCCAGTTCCCAATAGCACAAGCAGCGTGATCCTAAGTTACCAGCAAGTCTACCTGCACAACAGTATCAATTGTATCTCAAATACTATTTACACATAGACTAATAATCCTTCTGCTTTAGAAATGCAGGCTGACCAACTGAAAAGTTACAGATCCATCAATTCTTCCATCATCTCCTACATTTTGTCCCTTCTCTCCACATACGGGAGCAAAAAATCTCCCCATAATTCCGAGAAACTGCCATCTGAAACCTGTTAAGGTGACTTAACAGTTCAGCAACACCACAAATTCCCGTTCCACTCCCACATCTCAGTTGGTACAATGACACTTGCTACTTTGTTTTGGCTACAGGCATGTCCTTTGGGCTCGTTCAAGAACTGTAACTTGCAGCACTAGCACTTTTGCAGCCAAATCAGCTCAGCAGCCTTCTGAAAACTAACCCACTGAAGAAGTTAGTGAGTCAATCTCACACAATCCAATTCAGTTTCAGTGTAAGAGCTGTTGCCAAATTAAAGGGTGTACAGGGAAGGCATCTGTCAGTGGCAGTGGGGTCTTAAGACTCTTGCCAATAAAAAAAAAAACAAACACTAAGACCAACACCATGATTAAGACAGCGAAAGTCACCCGTGTCAACTTTACAGGAAATGCAACAAAAAAAAATCCACACTGGCGTTTATAATTTATTTCCTCAGACCAGACATGAGATGTCTATTCTGGGACATATTTAGTTGCACTCTGAACTCTACTGGTGAATTATTGATCAACTAACAGATGAAAACGGGCACCCTGTAAATACCAGACATTTAGACAAGTGGTAACAGCTATACTGAGGAATTCTGAAATATCAATCACATTCAACAAACTACACATCCTTAATACAGAAAAATCTCGCAGAGTGCCATTTACATAAATCACTGACCAGCACAACACTAAAAACATATTGCAAGTAAGAAAACACAATAAACTTGCTGTAGAAATGCCTTTGGAACAACCTTGTTCTGAATAACTCATTTTCTAAGCAGAAAAAAGATCAACTACAAACCAGAAAAACAAGACTGAAGTAACAGCTAAAAACAGAGATATGTGCTACTAGAAGTATCTATCATGTCATTACCTTTTATATACCTGTCTAAAGAATTTGTAAGCAAAGATCTAATGGAAGCTCTAGGCCTGCAGAAAAGATCAGTTTTGTCAAAACACATTACAGAGTACATTGAAAATCGTTGCACGTTTGGAAGCTGGTTACTTCCCTGACAAGACACTGCTAGTAGTATTGCCTTTTAAACATGTTTCAGATTAAAGAGAACAAAACCAGATTGCAAGCAAAACTTACAGCTTAATTATATGAGGATGCCTGAAGAGTTTGAGGTTCTGAATCTCCCTGCGGATTTTTCCTACAACATCAAGGCTGCGAATCTTCTGTCGATTCAGGATCTTCACTGCAACTTTATGCCCAGTTAACTCGTGTTTGCCAACTGCAAGGAACAAGGAAGTGTTTAGTCAGGGTTTTCAATTGCTCCGTAAAGACATAATATTCCCATTTCAACTGCAGACAAGAAATACAAGTTAAGATGTTAGCATTCCACATATCCCTATTAACTTTGCAGAGGTTGAAACTAGATGGCATGTCATTTCTTCTGCCCTGGTCCAATTTCTCCCACAAATCTATCATGAGAAGATGAATGGGATATGCAAGAAAAATCTTAAGCCTAAACCTCAGAAGTCTTGCAGCATTACTACATTTTTGCACCATTGCAACCAACTAAACAAAGCACATCCCAAAACACTGCCATCCCTGCTAATGAGGGAGACCATTTTGTGTCCCTCTAAGACACTTAAAGTTTTTGGCTCACTTGGTAACCCACTCAGACGTGTCCTCCTGCAGCTCTTCTACTTACTGAAGAAACCACTGTTATCCTTCCCTCAAGCAGCCTGTTTCAGGAATTACTCTGAATTACCACTATGAGTGTCTGATCAGCTTACTTAAAAAATAATTATTTATCTGTCCTTGGACCAGTCTGACCCACAGTCTGCAGTCAACACTAGAGCTTTATTATATAAAATAAGTGGCAAAAGCTACAAGACCTGCACAAAATCCAGTAGTTAACTAGGAGAAGCAATGCAAACACGCAACCTCATACAGTCCTCAGTTCTTTCCTACTTCGAGGAATATTTCATTTTTTCTTTCAACAGAGGAACTCAGAAGTGCAAAATATTTCCTACAGCTACACGTCTTAAAGTCCTTAATTTTGCAGCTACTATTGGAAGGAGCAGCAACAAAGTTACTGAGAATATTTTTCTTAAACCCAACACTGGATCACAGATAAACCACTGAAACTATCTCTTCCACTAGAAGGCCTTCCTATCTGCATTGGTTTCTGCATGCAGTGATTATAACTACATCACTTTCATTCATCACCCTGATTCCTACCTTTTGAAGTTAGGGACAGGGACACCTACACGGTTCATCCTTGTCCACTGGAATGGAGATTGCTAACAGACATGTGTCTAACCCATTACTCACCCACGTGGGTGCCTCTCCTCACTTGAGAATTTAACTAAGCCCCAGGCTTCAAGCTTCATTTAAACATAACCATGGAAAGCTATGATAAACAGCAGTGATCCACAAAAATCTTTCTCTATCCAACAGATAATTTGGATAGAACTATCAAACACCCATCAATCTGTAAATCTCATTCCCAACACAAGACTTTCCTGCTGCCTTTTGCCTCCATATTGACCTAAAAACTACTGCAAGTGAGAAGAAATTTTCAGCAGAGAGACAGAGATAACAATAAGCATCTGAGTCATTACTGTTACAACAAAAAGATAGCCGCTGTGCAAAATAAACCATTTTGTCTGAATTGTAGGGAAGTAACTAAGTAGCACATTACCCAAGACCCTAAACCATCACACTGCCACGGTGAGATGCCTTCTGCACCTGAGAACGCAGAAAGGCTCTGACTGCAAGGTGAAAAAACACACACCCCTCATTCAGAGGAGCTATTACCTAAAAATGGCCACAATAACCAAAACACAGGACAGGCACATTTGCATGGCTAAGGAATGCAGGACAAAGCCCACATTCATTACAGGTCCTAAACAGACCACAAAGCATTGGTAGTTGAGTGCCTAGAACTGTAAAACCACATCAACTATTAGAATTATCTGCTTTCAAACGGATCTACAATTAAAACAATCTCCTTTGTTTTCTTCAGTTCAAACAGTTAAAGGAACCCAAGAAATTATATTACCTATGTTCAGACCCTAAGGAGTAATGAATCATTAGCATTAAACGTTAGAAAAACAGCTATTCTACTTGAATTACAAAGTCTTTGCCTATCATTAACATGAACTGAAGCAAGTCAGAAGTATTGAATTTTGGTCAGTAAGAAACAGCTTCTTAGCAACGAACTAAAAAATCAGTTAGACATACGAATTTGTATCTTCCTTTGCTTTACAAAGTACATTTAAGAAGGTGTTTAATTTAGTAAGTAGCATATATATTTAAGAAATTCTACAGCTTAGCATATAAATATTCTGGTTTGACATGCATTGTGTTATAAATTCTTTTTTATCAGCTAATCTGTTTCATTTCTGATTTGTCAGTGTACCTTAGACAAAAACTGGAATTTCATTAGAACTCTGAAAAACATCAGAAAGTAACTAATTAGCTGCAGCAATCTATGTTCAATATGCAGGACACATAGGAAAAGAGTTTTGAAAAATACATTTTTCATTCAAAGTAATTACACAGTAACATTTGTAGTTGACTGAAACCAATTCTAGCTGTCACAGCCTTCAAGATTGTGTGCCTCAAGCCTTGATTTTATTCATTGACTGGGAGAAAACAAGATTTTCTGCTTCTTCAACTCTGTTTGCCAGCTTTGAATAAATTATTGTAATGAAAACACAATGTGGTTTTGTGCAGGTGCAAAGAGATCCCAAAATGCCTGTTCATTTGCTTAAGACATTTCAAACTGAATCGTTATTTTCTTCAGTAATTTTTGCCTCCCTTTTTAAATTCAGTTTAAGATAATAAGATGTCTAGCTTTTTAAAGACACTAGTTTCCACTAGCATCTACTTCATGAAATAAAACTGTTTTCTTGGATATGGTTCAGGATACCTGTTATCAGAAAAACAGCAGACACTAGCTGGTAACAGACTGCTGACCACTTCTGAATTCCTCATACAGACAGAACTGAAAGCAAGAGCTCAGATAATAATATCATGTAGAAGAATAAGCAGCCAGCGTTATCTTTCCAAAAGCTAATTTGTATTACCTCTTGACAGAAATTTTACCTATAAAAAGGATCACAAATTAGAACTAATCAAAATATATTTGTGTTAGTCAACCTTGTCCTTCAAAAGAATCACTGCAAAAAGAAGTTCACTTCACAGACCTAGTATTCCCCTATACTTCTTTATTCTCTGATAATACCAATTGCCTTCAAGCTCCACTACAGCTATGCATAGAACCAAGCTTTCCAAGACAGTGACAGAGCTTCAGACAGGCAGTGACATTTTAACTGTTGACGTGCAGGAGCGACAGTCTCTGAACTCAGTTGAGCAGGCCTTCAGTCGGAAAAGCAGACTGATTACGAGACCATCCAGAGTAAATACACCATTCTTACAAAACACAGGTAACACAGGAAGTTTGTAGAGAAAAAAAAAAAAAAGCTGAGCAAGCATATGTCGTATTTAATGAAACATTTCTGCTATAGGCCAAAAAGCAAACCCAAGGCTCAGTGGAAAGCAGTCTTTAAAAGCGTGAGCTAAGATGTTTTCACTAGCACAAAAAACCACCATGAGCTAATGCTGTGTAAAGGTGCATTGCTGCACAACATCAGACAGCAAACTAATCTGCACCATCCATTTCCTGGTCTCTGATCAATGCCTTGACCAAGAATACTTACTTACATGAGTTTTGCAGCCTGTAGAGACCAGGGGTTTTAACCTAGTTCTACAGACTGGAAGAACTATTGTATAGTTATAACCTTAAGCAGTATCCCTCATTTTCTCAGTACAAACCATGAGAAGCCTCGCTACTCTTCCTTCTATGAATTTTTAAGGC